ATCTATCTCCTCACTCCTGGCTAACTTGCCCACCACCCCCCTGCTCCCACAAACACAAAACAAAATTCTATATTACAAAAAGGTAAGCAAATAACAGTAAATTAGATTAATTTTAATTACTTTTATTAAGTTAATATTAATTTTAAATACATAGAACTTCTGAGAAGTTATAATTGCACCTTGTATTGTATGTAATATGTTAGATATTCTTGCATAATAAGTGAACACACTCATTGCCACATGGTTGGAGAAGTTAGTATGGGCTGGGAATAAGAGATGGCAGTTTTAGTGCTGTCTGTCATACCTGCTAGCTGTGTGATCTTGGGATATAGATAAATAGACTGATGAAGCAAATAATTAATTTATTCAAAAATTTTAATAAGCGTGACAAATACTGTACATCCTAAGTCATTTAGTATCTCTCTCATTACAGGAAAAGCTTGCCAACTCCTGTTATTATTATGGCATCATAACTAGTCTATTAAGGACTTTTGTCCTTACTGAGATACACATCATGTTGTGTTCTGACCTGTCCTGACATTGGAACTTATTCTTGCGCTACTGATTTAAGACAAATCTGCCTAAATCCTGTTCTTCATCAGACCCTGGTGTGGGTGTCTCCCTACCACACACTTAATCCCAACTTGCTTGTCTGCCTGGGTCTTAAGTCTTAGATTAAATAACTTTTAAAACCTCTCTTCATGGATTATCCAACCATTTTACCCAAATGCGAAGTGAAAATTACATTGTAAAGCAGGTAAGCATAAAGCAGATCAGAGGTTCCCTGAGGAACTTGTTATAAATGAGATTTGTTTTTCTGACTAAGAATCCAGCATCAAGTGAAGTAATGATCCAATGTAAAGACATATGCAAATCTGCATGAATAGTTAAAACTATCTAAAATGTATTTCAAAATACAAGCTTTTAGAACTACAGGAAATCTTTGGAAATAATCCACTTACATTTTCTGATTTTCAGATGACAAAATGGAGGCCCATATGCACTCTTTCCCAAGATTATACCCTGATTAAAATACTGATGTTAAGGAATCAATCCATCCTACCAAATCCCAGAAATCTCAGAATGTGGAAGCTTCAGGAAGTGCAGAAAAAAGGGGAAGTTAAGAGGCAGAGCTGAGAGGATACTGGTTGCATAGGGAGCCAGTAGACCTTGTCATCCATTTTCCACAAAACTTTGAATATTCAACGTGCAGGTAACCAGTACTTTTTCCCTCTGGAATGAGATAGCTCAGGACTTAGGGAAACAAGGCAAAATGATTGTGGGTGGGTGGCAGGGTACTAAACATGGGTGAAATAATGCCTGGGGTGTGAACCATGGGACCCAAACTGTTCTCTTTCCTTTAGTTTCAGAGTTCAAGCTGCCAGATAAGCATCCCAGCAAGGAGAGAGAAACAGTCTTCATGGAAGGAACTGAATGGTTATATATTCTAATACATTGAAGTCCTCCAAGTGGGAAAAAAAATGCTGTTTACTTTCTGATCACCATGTAGTGGGTGTTGGGTACACAATTCCAAATCTTCTAATCAACGTCTTAGTGCCTCATTCTTTAATATAAATGGAACTACAGGGGTGGCAAGCCATCAAACTAGAACCAAAACTAGAAAATCTAGAGCAAAAGTAAAAAAGAACTGAGAGAAATTATTTACAATCTAAAAACAGAACTTTAAAATATATATAAATCCAATGAAATTTTAGGACAAAAGTCAAAAGTATTATTAACAAAGAAATCATCAGAGTAAAATAAGAAATCTACAGATATTAAAAATCATCCCTGGCTTTCAGATGGTGCAGTCCGTTAGGGTGCCTTCCCATACACCAAAAGGTGGCAGTTGGATTCTGGTCTGGTGATCCAGGGTAGGGCGCATGCAGGAGGTAACCCATATTCTCTCTCTCTCTCTCACATCCTTCCTCTATAAAAATCAATAAAAACATATACTCAGGTGAGGATTAAAAAAAAATCAGGTAAGAATGTAGAAAAAGAAATTCAAAGATTTGGAAGCTAAAGTTGAAGAAATCTCCCAACAAGTAGACAAAAAAGACAGAGAGATGGAGGAAGTTAAATTATTGATCTAGGAAGCCCAATATCCAGCTAATAGGAGTCTTGGTAAATGAGAACAGAGAAGACACGAAAGAGAAAGTTATCAAAGACATACATAAGTAAAATTTTCCCAAACTGAAAAATAGGTGTTTTTTTTTTTTTGAAGGCGCCTGAATGCTCAGTAAAATTAACTAAAAAAATAACGCAAGGTACATCATTGGTGAAACAGGGGAATTCAAGATTACTGAGTACATCAATTTAAATGTGAGAATCCAAGTCTCATGATTCCTGTCTTTGATCATTTAATCTTTCCTGGAACTCTGAAGCACTTGTGTTTCAATTGCAGGCCTGATCCTCAGCATTTCCTTCCCACTGGCTGAAGAAGATAGGAGTCTCTGTACATTCTGCAGAGGAGACATTCTGACTCACACTTCCCTTTACAGTGGTGATTCATCATCATTAGCCCTTCCTTTTCTTTCTCTAACAAATCCATGTTCCAGCAACAAGCAGTTGATTCAATAGTTCTTTTAATTACTAATTCCTCTAAATTTTTCAACTGCTTGAGATAATGCCTAGAGTTACAACACTGTTACCAAGTCTAAGTTAAAGGGTCAGAAAAACAATTCTGCCATTACAAGGCTCCCTACAATGCCTTGGGAAGGGAACTATTTCACTTGTAAGAAATAAAAACCAAAATAATGAATGGGTAGAGAGGAATATTACTTGATAACATTAAAGTTATAAATTTAAAAAGGAGAGAGAGAACATACTTAGGACACTGATAACTAACTCTATGCTCTGATAGAAATGAATCTGTTGGAACAATTTCTCAACTTAAGACCACTGCTGTCCCCATAATAAACAAGCTACCCTAAGATAAATTAAAGTAAAAAGTTTGCCCAGCTGGTGTTGCTCAGTGGTTGAGCGTCAGACCCATGAACCTGGAGGTCATGGTTCGATTCCTGGTCAGGGCACATGCCTGGGTTTCTGGCTTGATCCCTAGTGGAGGGTGTGCAGGAGGCAGCCAATCGATGTTTTGTTCTCACATTGATGTTTCTCTCTCTCCCTCTCCCTTCCTCTGTCTCTAAAAATCAATTTAAAAATATAGTTGAGGAAAATGTGAACATGGAGCTGGGCAAAAGACTGTTTTGGAAAGGGTTTGAGTTCAAATATTTTAAGGATTATCATGTGGAAGATGACGTTTTAAATTCTTTAAATCTCTAAAATATAGAATTAGGAAAAAATGAGTGAGAATTTGAAGGTAACAGATTTGAGCTCAGTATTAGAAGGGGTTGAGAGTAAAGGGAGTTCAGATTAAGACTTGTCCACATAATGAAACAGTCTGCTTTACAAAGAATATTTATGTTCCATCCCTGGAAGAGATAATTGCAGAAGCGGGCAGCCTGTTTGCAAAGCACTCCTATACTGGCTGAAGGCTAAAACAACCTGAATGTCAGCTCTGTGATTTATTTACTGGGACTGAATCAGTCCCATAAAATAGAAGTAAAAAATAAATACTATTTTCAAATGTCACAGTATCTCTTTGAAAGCAAGGAATTGGGGTAACCTACTTGCTTTCACAGCTCCATTTCTTAATAACACGTCCAACTGTTCCAACAGAGGCAGGGGACGTCTTTCACTAGGTTCTCAGGTCCCAAACAACTCTGGACATCCATTGATAGTGGCAAAATCGAATGTCAGACAGAAAGTTCAGATACTAGGCTTCTTGGTTTAACATGAGACGCAGAGCAACCCCACCAAGACTCTAAATTTATTAATTTATCACAAATTTATAAATCCAAGATTTATAGATGAGATAGGTTGCAATGAAGGCCACCTCTCCTCCGTTCTACTTGCCTGAAACAAAGAGCGCACTCTGCTCCGAAGCTCAGGCGCAGGTAGGCGCCCAGTCCATCACCGACGCCCTTTCCAACGGGTGGCTGCTGCCTTCACGTTTTCCAGCGGGTGGTTAGGAGAAGATTTGCAAAACGCTTCACCACCATTTTAAAAACAATTACAGCGGGGCGCCTGGGATGGAGTTTCCAGGACACCATTTAACGGATCGTTGCTCCAGTCCCACTTACTGGTACAAGAACAGTGCCCTTGTTTCCCATGTCTCCTCACTGTGGGAATCTAGCCTTTGTGCCAAATATGGGCAGCGCTTGCTCTGAGCGTCAGGGGTACTCAGAATGCTCCCACTTACTGTGGCTGCTGGCCTCCACTGGACGCGGTCAACCACACTGGAATTGTTAAGATCACTGGGCTGAATATCTTTTTCTTTTTTTAGCCCCATCACCCCACTTCCCCCTCACACACACACCCTTAAATATGATCCAGGGAGAAAGGGACACAGAAGGCAAAGAACTGTAGTATGCTTTTCAGAGCTGACAGCCCTTCACCATACTTCTGTATTTTTATTTGCATGGAGCAAAGTTACTTTTACAAATACTTTGTAACTGTACTGTTTGTTTGGTGTGGTAGCCATCAGTTATTATGGTTATTGAGCACTTGAAATGTGATGGATGCAATGAAAGAGCTAAATTTCTAATTTATATGAAATACGGTATGTGTAAAATGTACAGTGGATCATGAAGACTTAGTAAGAAAAAATGTAATATTTCTCATTAATAAGTTTTGCATTGATTACATGTCAAAATTTTGGATATATTTGGATAATTAAAATATATTATTAAAATAATCTCACCTGTTTCTTTTTACTTTTAAAAATGTTCCTACTAGAAAATTTAGTTACATATGTGACTCATATTTCTATTGAATAGTGCTGGGCTATAAAATTAACTCTCTCTCTCTCTCTCTTTCTCTCCCCCCATCCTCTCACCCCCTAAGTAAACATTTTAAGGCAGTTTATTATCATAAATATATCAATACTATAATGATAGTAAAATAAAAGTGGAAAAATTAGAAGCCAAAGGGGAACAAAATACCAAACGTCTAAGTTAATTTAATTACTGTGATGGTACATTACGTTTAAGAATTGAAGTTCTACAAAGCCATGGCACCTTGAGAAGAAGGAAAAACTGTAAAATCCGTGACAAGATTTCCTGTAAAGTCAATTGAGGGTAGAGACCTTGTCCCTCTTTTTCTTGTAACGGCATACTCAGGATGCAGTACCATCAGAGCCTGGAACAGAGTGGGCATCAATAAATGTATCTAGAGTGAAATCAGGAATCACTGTATTACACAAAAATCATTTTCCTGTGTTGATCTTTCCTCTAGATTGTGAGCTTCCAGGTACCAAGGGAAATGAGCTATTTTGTATGTAGAGGTCTAGCCAAGGACCTGACTTTTAGTAAAAAAAAAAAAAAAAACAGTTAAAATTTATTAAGTGCTTAATAAATTTTCTGGGCCATTTTAAGTACATTGACTCCTCAAAATAACATGTGATACATAGAATTTCCCCCCATTTTACAGATAAGAAAAATGAGGCACTAGAACTTCACAAATATTTAACTATTTGCTCTAGAGGCAGACATATAGAAAATTAATAGGCACTAATATGTGGCTGCAAGTTTCTCAGGGAGGTGACAAGCCCCATCCTTGCCCATCTCTAAGGACATATGGTGCTAATTATGTAGCCTCTTCTTTGGACAAGTTCAGGTTTGTAGAAGAGAGTTCTGGGCCCCTAAGTCCTCCATGTGGTCTCACAAGAGTGCTCACTGATCCTCTGCCTCCTCACCTGGTTTCTCTGAATGAAGCTCCCCTCTTTGTTCAGCCAGCCCATCTTCTGATTGAATTCTTCTGCTCTGTCACTTCCAGATCTGTTCACTGCTGTACTCCAAGCCCTTGGTACAATGTCTGGTACATGTAAATATTCATTAATGAACAGATCACCCCTTGATTTCCTGAAAAGCACTTTTTTGACTATCAAAAAAGAAGGAAGTAATTCTTCTTTCATAAATCTCATGATGTCTTTTGCTCTTTGCTACATAAAAAAGTAAAAATAACAATCTAAATGATAATTGCTGCAGAATTATATTGTTTTTTCAGAGTTATAATGTTTGCATGCATGGGGTTTGTTTTCTAGACTTAAAACCCCAGACAATAAGGGCTAAATCTGGTTAAAATGAGCAAATAGAAGTTTATTGATTTCATCTAGATGATGATGATGATGAAATGATAGTTTAGTAAATCATCTGCTCAGGAATTACCACAAGATAGAAGATAAAGACTATCAGATGTGATATCAGAAATTACGGAGTTGGAAACAGACCAAGATTTTTTTTGGAACTAATCCTAACTTTCACAGGATGTGCCGTTTTTAGCAAGTCTCTTGATCAATATGATTTTTTCCTCCACTCTCTGTCTACTGATTCAATATCAGAGGGCATTTGAAATTCCCTCCATCATGTTCAGATCATGAAGTAAATTGCATACCTCAGGAACCAATTAAAGCTCAACTTACCTCCTTCTGACCATCCTTCAGCAGCTGTTCCCAGAGAAAGCTGGAGAGAGCTCAAAGAAAAGCTGCCTTGGAACAAACTCACCTGGAACTCATGGACTCTGTCTGAGTCTGCACTGCCAGGGGCCCTGGCGTTTCTCTCCAAGTTGTGATTTCATTTAGCTTGAGTGAGGCATTCTGCGCGGGGTGCTAAGGGGAATTGAGAGCAGAGATTAGACATGGTTTTTACCCTCAGGAATCTCACAATTTAATGGAGGAAATAAGATAAACACACAGTCAATTAAGAGAAAGTAGATACATATGTACACACAAAAATATTGATTTAAGTTTGGGGAAGAGGAGGAGATAGAAGCAAAGGATTTAGATGCTAATCAGGAAAGTCTTGCAGACTTTGCAGCCTGCACATGCGTGTTTCTAAGTAGAGGAAAGCTCTCTGTGTGCCGAAAGAAAGGGGACAGCTGTTCCAAGGAGAGATTTATTTTCGCTTCCCCAACCCCCCAAATGGCCCTGGACTAGAGGAAGCAATTCTATGCTCAGAGATGGTAAATCACATCCATGTGACACCTGGGCCATGGAATGATACCATGGAGATATTTTCACTTGACCTTCTAGTAATTAGGGATTAGCCAAGTTAGAATGTACAATACTTTCTATCCCTAGCTCTTTACCCATCAAATGAGGCAATGCTAAAGGGTTTATCTCTTTTGTTAAAAACATAATCCTGGCACGTTTGACAAAAATGCTTATATTGCCCATTATTGAGGAGAAATATGTAACTTCATATATAGAGAATCAAACTTGGTATTTGGTGCCCCAGAGCTTACATTCCTCTGGAATTTTTGGCCCTACCATGCTTGATTTTTGGCTCCGGATGGTATGCCTAGAAAGTGACAGCCCAGACTTTGTAGAAATGCTGCAGAACCCTGGGAACTCTGGGGAGTCCCAGAGAGGATCACCTAGAGGCCTGCCCAGCCCTCCACTGCATTCCCATACTTCCTACATCCCATTGGAATAACATTGCCCCATTGACCAAATAAAATAAAATAAAGTAACTGGTGTATTTGGGCATCTAATAAATGGCCTTCTCTTTTTCAGTTTTCAACATTTACGGAGTTAGAATTTGTTCTCTCTCTCTTTTTCTCTCTGTCTCTCTCTTTCTTCCCCCCTCCCTCCCTCCCTCTCTCCCACTCCCTTTCACTTTTTCCAATCTAATCAAATATTGCGTTTTCTTTCCCCCTTAGTGAGGGGAGCTGGGGGAGAAGAGACAGATGGTATCGTTTGCAAAAGCAAAGCTGAGAAATCACACATATATCTTTCAGCTTTGTGGCCAATCTGATGCCAAGATTCCTGCTTGAAGTGTGTAGCGTGATGCAGGCACAGAGGCGCACCGGAGAGGGTGAGGCCAGCCCTCGAGGGCAGTGCAATAAATTGCCGTCGGCTGATCCAACAGCAGAACATGGGAGCTATTACACTTTGGCAGCTATTTTATTTTTCCCTTATGGAGTTTCAGACCTGTCCTGTACACTGAGATAGCTTTCATCTGGTTAAAACTTGTGCGGTGTTTAAACTTCCTTCAGATCCGTGGAGTTGGAGGAGGGGGGAAAAAACCCTAGCTTAGCCCATAACACACTGAAATGATGTTGGGGGTGGGAGAGGGCCAGTAATTGTGCCCAGATAATGTTGTCATACTTTGTAAAGCCTTTAATGCTGGAATTTATTTATTAATGATGCATGGGTTATTACCCACCATCTGTCTTGTGTTAGCAGTGGGCTGTTTCAGATTATGGTAATGTGTTTCTGATTTGAGTTGTGTTGAAAGCCAGAACAAGGCATCTCATGTGCAGTCCTCTTTGAGGCCTGCTGTTTTCAATTCCTCTTCACAGAAAGGGCTTTTATTTGATTTGTTATGGGGATTTTTTCTTCTGTTGCCAAAACAGCTGCAAGCCTGGAAGGGAATAAGACACAGGGCCACATCAAACTTGTTAGCTTGTAAAAAAAATGGAATGTTCCAGGAACCAAAAAAAAAAAAAAAAGATGTGAGAAGATAGATGGAAAGGGGGGAGCAAAGAAAAAAACTCTAGTGGCCTTTTTCATTGGCTTTCATGTCACCAGTATTCCAACACATTTTGCTATTTTAAGTATAATAGGTCAGATTGCTATGTACTTAATTTATTATTCCCATGCACACCAGACAAAATGGCTTTCTTTTGAATTGCTTTAACAGTCTTTATGCTGGTACAAGGACTGAGTAAAAGTCCCCAGTGAGCTAGCCACCCTCCTCCAGTCATCAAAGCAAACACTCAATAAATAACCCTGATTTTTTTTTTTTTAAGTACTGAACAGATTTGGATTTGTTTGTGAATGAGAAAAAGGGAAAAGAAAAAAAAATTAGTAACAGGCATCCCTTGTCTGCTGTACATATTCACCCTGATCTGAGTTCTTTGTCTCTGTTTCTCCCTCTCACATGGCTATGGGTTGGCAAACTGTGCTTCTAGACCACTGCTGCCCAACAGCAATACTGATGGACATGCTCTATGTCTGCCCTTTCCGATGTGGCAGCCACAAGGTACATATGGCTACTGAGCCCTTAACATGTGGCTAAAGTGACTAACTAAATTTTTATTTGGTTTGACTTAATTACCTCACATTTAAATAGCCACATGTGGCTAATGAGCACTATATTGGAGAATACAGTACTAAGATTAATTAATTAAAATAAATAAATAGTCTGTTTCTTCCCTCTGATACAAAGTAAAAGGCATTGTATACCAGCTATGGTTATGGTCAACTTTTGACCTTAAAAATTATTTTGAAAAAGTCTTCTCTGGTGTATTATTCAAGGTGAGGAGCACTAAGGCTTTCTCCCAAAAGACCACTTACAAGTTCTTCCTTGAAGCAAGTGCATAAATGCTTCCATCGACTGAAATATGGGTTTACAGGAAAACTTAATGTTCATATGATAAACAAATAACCATGAAGAACTGTAACCAAAGCTCTCAAACAATAACAAATCTACCAATGCTAAGGATAGGCAAGAATTTGTTTTAAATTTACTGGCAACGATTCTCTTAGTTCATATAAAACACAGGCTTATTGTTTCTGGACCATATGGTGTGTTTCAAAAAGAAGCCTAAAACCATGTGAAACTGACTTTGTACACACAAAGGCTACACTGTCCAGATTTTAGTTAATCTATGTTTTAGAAATTATGAGATAGCTATTACAATTTGTAAACATATTTTAAGGTGCCTTTAGTTGTCAATCTGCTTTTCCATAGCTTTTCTATGAATGAAGAAGGAGCTTTATAGAGAGATGGTAATAAAGAAGATATAGGAGGAACAAGATACATGTTTACCTTTCCTAGATGCCTTTGCCACCTGGACACACATTTAGACTCCATTTCTTGGTCACCGTTGCAGTTGTATGGGGCCATGTGAATAATTCATGCAACTGAATTCTAGTGAAAAGTGGCTAGAAATAAAGTATGCCATGCCCAGACCTGTCATTAATATCCTTTCTGCATAATTCTCCCCTTTCTTTGGTCTGATTCAGAAAAATCAGCAAAGAACTGAGGCCCGGAAGGTAGCCGCTACATGAAATGTGCCTAGATCCCTGAATGACAGGGTGGAGCAGAGCCATTTCTCCCAACTAATACTTTAGTTAGATTTAGACTGTGACCAAATGGAGAAAAAAAAAGAATCTTTGTTGTGTTCAAGGTGACAGAGATTTGGAGAATATGTTTTGCAAATTTGATACTGTTTGATACAAGATGACATTTTAGAGAAGGAACAGTCAGGAGAGGCAGAACTTTTGGTAGTGTGATCTCCATGTTAATTGCTCTGTCACTTGACTTTGCTGCCAAAACCTTACTTCTAAGAGTGTACCAGAGTTGCTCATATTCAGGAAGAAGAATTTACATTTTTCAAGTAAACAAGATGTTAATATGTGAAATGCAAGGTCAATTCATTTAACATCTTATTTAAAACAAAATATAGAACTGCCATGCAAATTAAAATACTACCTAAAACATTATTTCCATGTAGAAAAGTCCAAATAGAAAACCAAATATATGTCCTAGAGGGATAGGCCCTCTAACATCATCATCTTCATTGCCACAAAAATGACCTTGGTTTTGTTCTTGAGCCTTCAGACTTTTTCTTGCTCTTCCTACCATCCTTATTCTGGACACTGTCACTCCTGGCAGTTCTGTCCTTACAGCTTCACTCCTGCCTGCACGCTTTTGCTTAGCCCACCCTATTCAGGTTGATTACTCAACTGGATGGCCTGTGGGGCATGTAACTTGGAATTCTTCATAATGTCCTGTTTAACTTCTATACACTG